CTCCAGTATATCCTATAAGCCCATTTTAATTACATCTTTTCAAGGAATTCCACCGCCGTAGTACCAGCTAATAAGGAGGAAGGTGCACACCAATTCCGAGCTGTGTTTGCGAGAGGTAATAGGCAATTGATAGGTCAAACATTCCTTTCGTAAACTGATAATGGGCTAATAGATTGTTAAGCGCGAAGCTGAAATCCGCTCCTCGATGTTCTTCTGTTTTCAGGCTAATGAGTAGCTTTTATTGGGAGTATTTAGGAGGTATTGGGTCTTCTGTTTTCTTTAAGGCGAACGAGGAAAGGGAATTAGTAAGGCTGTTTATGGCGTATTTTCGACGAGAAAGCGCGAGCTAGCTAGGGTTTGGTTCGGTTTGCTTCGAAGGGGAAGGCTAGATCAGTAGCAACTCGAGGAGGTGTCATGGCGTCTGCATTTATTTTACGAATAAATACACATTTTGAAGACGTCACGAAAGTTACGGATGCTTTGTGAATATGGTCGATCATTTTGGTCTTTTCAGTTTTCAAAAGGAGAGAAAATAATGATTTTAATGGTAATATTTTCATTGAACAATCGTCAAAATAGCCCTGTGGGACGCCATGACACCTCCTCGAGTAGCTACTGACATAGCCTTCCCCTCTTGCCGAATTCGTCAAAAACAGCCCCAGCATAGAGCTTCCTGGAAATAAATAAACAGTCGCATTATCATGTATGTAAAGACTTATTCTCCTTCGTAGTGGGTGACAGGGGTAATCGGTAAAGTAAACGGACTGGATGTTATTATTAACGAGAGTGAAATTAACGAGGAGGTTAAGCATTTAATGAAGGTAAATGAAATAATAATATTTTTACCTATCATTATACACAGACCATTATGAATGACTGGAAAAAAATCGTCAACACATTTTAGGGCAACAGTTTAAGTCCGCTGTTAGGTAGCTGTTCCAAACTGAGTTTAGAATGAAAACAACATTGGTAAAATAAAAATACTCTTCGAACATCCCCGTAATGGAATAATAAGTAGCTATAATTTATCTTTTAGAGAATAATATAGCTATTACTATAAGCTAGTTGATGCTTCTGGTCGGAACATATATGTCCACAGTTTGGTAGTTTACAATACCATCTATTATCGACAAAATCAGTAAATTTAATGAGAGAATTTAATCGAAATCACTCATTTTTTTTTTCAGCCATATGGTTTGTTTACATTTGTGGCGTCATGAAAATGTAGCAAGCGTCGTATGGAGGTATTTTGAAAATGCTTGGTTAGGGTACGAAGCCAGACCAAGATATCTGACCGAGAAGTTCCGCCAAAAGCAGGAATAAGCCAGAAGTTTCAAGATTTTTCAAGAAATCTTGAAATATCTTGCCGTCAAAAATGCGCCTATGATATGAAAGGGGCGATCTGTCTGCAGCACACACACGTGCGTTTCTTTTATATCTAGATCGATATGTTTTGTATACATGTACTGTACATATATACCATATTGCAATAATTCATCAGGCAGATATGCGAACAGATGCATCTATATCTGTCTGTTTGTCTGTCTCTCACTCTCTCTCTCTCTCTCTCTCTCTCTCTCTCTCTCTCTCTCTCTCTCTCTCTCTCTCTCTCTCTCTCTATATATATATATATATATATATATATATATATATATATATATATTATATATATATATATATATTTGATTAATTCTTGCGTCTTGCATTCTGCAACCTGCAACTTTTCAAGGAAAATCCAGGTTCTGATTGAAGGCTAATTTACTGAGAGGTCCCGGGCGCACAGGAGCCGCGTGACCACTCAGTGACGCCTCGAACATTGGCAAACATATTTACCAAGTACATGTGGTCATATATGCATAATTATGTAATAAGGCATGGGTAATAAGGAACAGAAAGGTATCATTGTGCATAAACGTAAATACTGGAATACTAGTTAACACAATACATTGTAATCCATGTACACGATATACTCATTGTCTGTCTGTTTACATATGTATATGTACGTGTATAGATATGTATTTATACCTATATCTACTTATCTATCAATTTGTGTATTTATCTATCTGTTTGTCTATATATAACTGATAATACTCTTGGTTACACAGCACTTAATGATATTTATCAACTATGCTGCTGCATAAGTAATGACAAGGAGCTCTTCCATATTCTAAGTACGTTTCAACATATAGACTGCTTTACCCTTGATCCCTTTACACTGGCCGCGATGCACACATGTAAGGCCGAATACATAGTGTAGGCCTACATATATTCGAACGTTTTCTAGTATTATAAGATGCTATACATCGAGATTAATTAGTATTTAAAAAAAATCTTGTACGTTAGGAAAAAAATCCGTTGACAGGCAAAATGCCAAGGAGGATTTCTATGTCCAATTTCAGCAGCGATTGCAACACATAACGGTGAAAGTCCTGTGCAGACTATTAATACGTACAACTTCGGTTCCCGGATGAGCCATCAGGTCTTTAATTCATGGAGTAAA